AAGAAAGAAAGAAAGAAAGAAAGAAAGAAAGGAAGGAAGGAAGGAAGGAAGGAAGGAAGGAAGGAAGGAAGGAAGGAAGGAAGGAAGGTGATAGATAGATAGATAGATAGATAGATAGATAGATAGATAGATAGATAGATGATAGATAGATAGATGAATAGATGAATAGACAGACAGACAGACCAACAGAAAGACAGACAGACAGACAGACAGACAGACAGACAGACAGACAGACAGATAGATAGATAGATAGATAGATAGATAGATAGATAGATAGATAGATAGATAGATGGTGCGAGCCACAAAAATATGTGAAGTAGGATTTCAGCTGATTACGAAAAGCTAATACCTGGAAGAAGCCAAGGGCCTTCCACCAGTCAAGTTGAGGCTCAAGGAGTCTTGGTGATAGTGGCTTTTGATTATCAGCCATTTCTTGCTACGAATGTCTCGTGTGCTATTATAGCCTTTCCATCATTTATTGGACACCATTTCCCTTCTACTAAAGGAATATTTAGATAACCTTCTGTACAGTAATACAGCCAGGATCCCTAATTTCAGACCTTTCTGCAATTATTGTCATTAGCAGCATCCAGCCAGGACCATCCCCGATGGACAAAAATATCTTATCAGAGATACCTCTGTACTCTCTAAAAACAGACATAAGTTTCTGTTTAAAAAGGCCTGGCAGATGTGCTAATTAAGCTTAACTTTCTCCTTTTTAAAGTCTTATCTCTCGTTTTAGATCCACCCTTAGCAATTAACTCAGAACTAAAGGGTTCTTACTTACAGGTACATCCAGCTGTGACAGAAGTTGCTTAGCCAAGTTGCCTAGTGACGAAGCATACTTCCCCCCACCCCCGCCAGAAACTGTGAGAGCAGAGATAGCTTGGAGAGAGAAGGCCAAAGGGATAAAAGGCAGTTTTATTTATAGAGAGAGGATGAGAGGGAGAAGAGAAAAGAGAACAGAAGAACTAGATGGGAAGAACTGGAGAGGAACGAACTAGGTGGGAAAGAACTAGAATGAAGGGCTAGAAGAGAGTATTAGAGGAACGAGATGAAAGATGAGGAAGAGCCAGGTGGGAAGAAGAAGATGAGGAAGAGCAAGATAAGAAGAAGGAGATGGAAGAGGAGCTAAGATTGGAAAGAACTAGATGGATGAAAATCTAGATGGGGCAGAACTAAGATGAGAGAATTAAGATAGAACTTAGAGGGGACAACCGATAAATGTAGAGAGAAATCAGGCAAGAAAGGAGCTAAGCATGAGAGCAGAATAGAAGCAGTATAGAGAAAGAACTAACTCAGAAGAATGAAGTGTATGGACTAAAGAGTTGTGTATTTAGATTCATTTCATATTGTCTAAGATTAATTAGATTGTCAGTGGTTATAGATTTTTCCCAGACCCTGGGAGAGTAATATTGAGGGGCTGGACCACAATAGTCCCCATTATAGATAGATAGATGATATAAGATAGATAGATAGATAGATAGATAGATAGATAGATAGATAGATAGATAGATAGATAGATAGATACATAGATGATAGATACATAGATACATAGATAGAGACTGGGGGCAAAAATGACCATTATATATTTATATGTATATTTATATGTGTGTGTGTGTATAAAATTATCAAATAATATTTTTAAAAGGGAAGTAATTAAGGGTTTAGTAGATGGCTCCATGATTAAAGCCCTGGTCATAAACGTTTGAAGATTAGACTTCGAATCCCCAGAACCCATCTAAATGTCGGGGGGATATGGATGCCAATCTCTATTTACATCCTCAGAAGGTGGAGACAGGAGATGCCCAGACCAAGCTGGCTAGCAAGACTAGCCATATCAACAATTTCTGCCCCAAAGCAAGATAAAAGAGGATACAAAGGTGATTCCTCATGATCCTCAGACCTTTCCACATGTATGTACATCTGAGTGTGCTACCAGCCCATACCCACACTCATGTGCCCACATACATGCACCATATACCAAAAAAGGGTAAAATAAATAAATAGTATTTGATATTGTTTGTAATTCTGATTTTTAGCATGTCCATATGAAAACATATCCATCATTAACCAAAGCATAAATTTGATATATAAAAAATCAATTTACTGTTATGTGAAATATTAATTTTACTAGGCATCCTGTATTTGCAAAGTTAGGAAAGTCATAGAGACTGGATCATCTGACATCACACACATAGGATGAAATCCTTGTCCACTGTTCATTCTAAGATTCCTTTCAGTTCCAAGTAGGAGGCATACCCTAGTTGGAAACAATGTCCCTTCCCCAACCATCCCTGAATCACCCACTCCATGAATGCCTCTCTCACCTGCCAGGGCTGGAAGTCTTGAGAGTCTGTAACTTTCCCATGCTGGTGCCCATGGGTTATCATGTCTTGCAGGGCATGAGCAATACTGTAGACAGATGTATAAGCAACATCAATTTTACTCACTTCTGGGAAAGCGTACTGCTTGTTTTTCAGACTCTCATTCCCTGAGCACAACTGGACACCCTCTGTCACTGTGCTGCTCTGGTGGGGCCATGTACAATCAAAGGTGAACTCCCAGAACTTCTTTATAAACATGTCTTCTGGGGTCTGGCTGGGCCGCAGGTGAGCAAGGAACTCAGGGAAGCCAATTGCAGTGCTGCTGTGATGCAGAAGTCCAAAGGTGCTGTGTAATACTCGGGAAATGCCTGGAATGGTCACAGTGAGCACCATGTGAAGAATGTTCTTGCTGACCCAGACCTGGCCTGAGACAGGCACATCCAGTAAGCCATACAGGATGAGCTCGAAATTAGAATTGCTTAGGAAAAGCAGAACAATACTGGCAGTGGATTTTTGCATCTTCTGGACAATCTCTTCAGTCTTCCCCAAGGACTCATGAGAAGGAACATGGAGGGTGTACTCAATGCACACACCAGCTGTGCTCAGCTCCTGAGTGGCCAGAGAGCTGGCCTGCTGCCCAAAGTCATCATCATGGGCCAGAATGATCACCCAAGACCACTGAAAGTGAATTATCAGTTGGGTCACTGCACGACAGGATGTGAAGTCACTACTCAGTGTCCGCATGAAAGATGGGAACTGGATCTTGTCACTGAGGATGGGTAATGAGGAACCATAACTGACCTGTCAAGGAAGAGCCAGGATAGAAGAGTGCATGAGATATGAACTTAGGCATGGGCTGATGATCTGGTTTAAATGTGGGAAGGAAGGGGATGGAGACATGTCTCAGCAGCTAAGAGTTGTTGTTACACATTGATGCAAAAATACTCAATAAAATACTGGCAAACAGACTCCAAGAACACATCAGAACAATTATCCATCATGATCAAGTAGGCTTCATCCCAGGGATGCAAGGG